AATTCATGAACTAGTATTTTTTATTAATTAATATTAGGTGACATTGATATAATTGGTGGGAACGTAATGAAGAAAAAAGAGGCAACTGAAGCTGAAGTTATTGTGGTGTATGTGGCATAAATGATTAGAGCCTAAAACCCTAGCAAGGCGCAATAATGGGATATATAGTTCTCCTCACCCGGGGAACTCAGGACAATAGCAGATATATCGTGGGGCTTTTGCTTACATGGAAAGTCGAAGACTTTGCTGATAAGCACAAGACAACGGGAGACTTTCATACGAGCCAACATTTCTTATAACAGTTTCTCCACTTCCATCACTCCTTCTTTGACCCTTGTCTCTTCTGTTGCCGTATTTTCAGTCTCATCGTGCTCCTCAATGACCACCCCACACACAGAGTAGTACTTATATTTCAGCTTTATTGCTTTCCAAGTGCTGAAACTCACAAGGCTGTCTTGTTTCCACATCTTTCTGACTTAACTTCATTCCGAACCGCAAAGAAAAAATGAGGCTCAGAAGAACCAACTGATCGGAACGCGAGAGTATGAGATAAAGGTGCTTCAACCTTGAGAGTGTTTTGTATAGCTTATGCACTCTCACTCCTCATCATCGTATATCACGTATTCAATCTTGGAGTAATGTAGATGGTTCAGTAAATAATGTGTTGTAATGCTTATAATTGTCACATGAACACTTGGACTATGTGATGACAAAAAGTAATAGTACGTACGTAGAATGGATTAGACGCACATGACCATAAAGAGAGGCGCATGAAATGATACATCTCACATAATTCTTCTGATGAGAATGCACGTTTTGTGAAACTGATAGGCTCTTCATTTGCGTACTTCCTCTCAGACGCTTCATCATGTAAATATAGATAGCTACTTGTCACTAATAAAGCAGTTTACTTCAATGTCTTTTCCAGCAGCTAATAACATGATTGTGAGGAAGAAGTAAAGAGCAGGAATCTCAGAAAGTGATGGGTCATAAGACATTAATTATTAAAGTGAAGTGGTTTTGGAATAAAAATGTCATTCTGCAGCTATCTCTACTTCTCACCTGTCATATATTGGCAATTGGAACAGGAGTTTATATTATCTTCGCAGCATAAATTTTCCTCTCAATTATTGTAGATCTCTCTCTTTCTCACCTGTCATATATTGGCAATTTGACCAGGAGGTTATATTATCTTTGCAGCATAAACTTTCCTCTCAATTATATTAGTCTTCATACGGCTTGTCAGTGCATGATTTGTCAAGCAATGAATAGTGCCTCGCATTGATTTAATGTTTGCCCACCTTTCGAAATATCACTACTCATACGTCCCGTCAAAATGCACTCTCTTTAATTAACGTTTGCCGCATCAATAGTCTGCAGCTTTGGTTGAAAATATTCAAGTGAGTACTGAGATTTATCATTTTTTTCATTAGTTTGAGGTTCATGCTTAAAAAAATAAAAAACAGAAAGAAATAAGGAAGATTAACATAAAACTTTTAGACGTACTGTATTGATGCAAAAAATATAAAAGGGTGGTTTCATCATTTGAAAAATATTTTGAAATAACAATACGATTTCAAAGGAAAACCTGAGCATTCAACAATACAAATATGATTGAAAAGGATCGAAATGGGGTGCCCTCAAACTCCACGATTTGGTGGAAAGTTGAAGACTAATCATGTTGCGCAAAGATATGTGAGCAGTGCACAAACAAGAGGCATTAATGGATCCTTTTCCTAAGTGCATACATTCATCTGTGCAGAGAAAGGAAAATTGGAGCTGCACTTTCTCAAATCATAATGAACAGGGAATAATTGAAACTATGAGCGATGGGATTGAAGATGATATGCGACCACACAGATCAACTCATTAGTCTTACTTCTTCTACATATGAGAGACAGTTGGGGTTCAATTTAGCTATGATACGAGACAGCGTTGTGGAATGTTGAGTCAAAAAGGGCATTGGCTGACATGTAACCACGCTAGTTTGCAGTAACGGTTCGCTGCATATAAATGCATGCTTATTGGCGCTGTCACAGCAATCAATGCTGGCTTTGTTTTTTTAATTTGTTTCGAAAAATGCCGTTCGCCTAATCATTGATCAATGCTAATTTTCATCAACCAACAAAGTTTCATCAGGTTCTTAATTTGTTCATCATCTTCTTTACCTCTTGAGTCTAGTTATATAATCATTTTCTCTTGTTTCATCAGTCATGGCGACTAGAATATACGCAGTTTTTCTTTTATTGTGGTTGTCCGAGAAGAAGCAAGATTCCTTCGCGCGGATGTATTCATGGAATGAAATTTCACATGGGGAGAAATATTGTGGTATAATTATTAGGAGGCAGAGGAAGTCAAAGTTAAGTTTCATGATATGAAGCAGAATGAGCATCATAGTTGGATGTAATATTTTCGGTAGGTTGTTCTCTGATTCTAGTCACTATGGGCGGTAGAGACGTATTGGTATGATTGGAAAGCTTTGTTGTGGCTTAGAAGACACTATAGTGTAATTGAAGAATCTATACTACAAAATATAACTTCACAATTGGATATTGAGGATGAAACAACTTAAAGTTATTTAGAAATCATCATTAACATTAGTCATTTATTTAGGTTTTAATTCTTGTCACTACAAAAAAATTGACTTTCAGCGGCGACAAAAGTCGCCGCCGAAAGTTTTTTGCGGCGACAAGTCGCCGCTGAAAAGTCGTTGCCGTAGCAGCTGTGACTGAAAACTTTCAGTGGCGACTAAAAAGGTCACCGTTAAAAGATACTTTCAACAGCGACTTTTAGAAGTTTCTCTGCGGCGACAAATGTCGCCGCCGAAAGTGTTTTCTGCGGCGACTTTTTTTCGCCGCTGAAAGTAATGCCTAAGAAGAATTGGCTTTACCAATGCCACGTCATCACCGCCGGTGCCACGTCATCGTCTCCGGCCGCCACGTCAGCACCGTCGACCTCCACGTCATCGCCATCGGAGGCCACGTCATCACCGCCGACCGCCACATCATCACTAGCCACCTCCACGTCATTGCCACGTCACTCCTCCTCGCCACGTCATCGTCTAAATATTTTCACCTTAAATGTGTCTTCTTCCAGGTTCGAACTCGTGACCGCCTCCCTTCGTGTCCAACCTTCTTGCCGCTGAGCCAGATTGAATTTGTTTATTAATATTGTAAAATAAAATATATATTATTATATTATACTTTCAGCGGCGACAAAAAAAGTCGCCGCTGAAGGTCCATTTTCGGCAATTTGTTTATTAATATTGTAAAATAAATATATATTATTATATTATACTTTCGGCGGCGACAAAAAAAGTCGCCGCTGAAGATCCACTTTCGGCGGCGACAAAAAAAGTCGCCGCTAAAGGTCCATTTTCGGCAGTTTATTAATATTGTAAAATAAAATATATATTATTATATTATACTTTCAGCGGCGACAAAAAAAGTCGTCGCTGAAAGTCCACTTTTGGCGGCGACAAAAAAGTCGCCGCTGAAGGTCCACTTTCGGCGGCGACAAAAAAAGTCGCCGCTAAAGGTCCATTTTCGGCAATTTGTTTATTAATATTGTAAAATAAAATATATATTATTATATTATACTTTCAGCGGCGACAAAAAAAGTCGCCGCTGAAAGTCCACTTTGGGCGGCGACAAAAAAGTCGCCGCTGAAGGTCCACTTTCGGCAATTTGTTTATTAATATTGTAAAATAAAATATATATTATTATATTATACTTTCAGCGGTGACAAAAAAAGTCGCCGCTGAAAGTCCACTTTGGGCGGCGACAAAAAAGTCGCCGCTGAAGGTCCACTTTCGGCGGCGACAAAAAAAGTCGCCGCTGAAGGTCCATTTTCGGCAATTTGTTTATTAATATTGTAAAATAAAATATATATTATTATATATACTTTCAGTGGCGACAAAAAAAGTCGCCGCTGAAGGTCCACTTTCGGCGGCGACACTTTTGTCGCCGCTGAAAGTCTTGGTTTCAGCGGCGACTTTTTGGTGTCGCCGCCGAAAGTGGACTTTCAGCGGCGACTTTTTTTGTCGCCGCTGAAAGTCGTCGCCTAAAGTCTATTTTTTTGTAGTGTGTTTCATTTCCGTCCAATTAATCGATCCGCTCATGATCAACCGAAGGCATGATGTTGTCTCAATGGGGTTCATACCAAATAATTGAGGGAACCATACTTGTCCGCGACAACTCGTACACTAGCAATGAACCCATTACTGCCTGCCATATGTGTGAGAACGCTTGGGTGTTCTATATAAGAGTTCATCCACCTGAATATATCGATGGCGCAGCCAAGTTATGAGGAATGGGGTCAGGTTTATTCAAACTTGTACGCATAATGGAGTTCCAAGTTACTACTATGAGTATACTCTACGCCTTCAGTTCACCAACTATATATGTTTCCCTTGTTCATGGAGCTCCACAAACTAGTTGCGCTATGTCTCTTATCTGAAATGAGTCATCAGCTTGACTTACCATATAAAATATATCGATATATTGTTCATGATAATATTCCATGTTTTAAAATTGAGGCTTTTAATTTAGTCGGGCCAGTATTAAACTGCTCAATCACTAGCCTCTGAAGCCCAAAAAAAAGTTCTCCGGAGTCTGGACATAATGAGGATATGGTGATGAAATATATAGGGTGTTTTCCATCTTGTGTATTGGGCCTATAAGGCGCGGCCCGTTTACTTTGATTATTGTATGACTCAGGAACTTAGGGAGCTTGCTGTGTATAGTCTATAAATAGTGGATCGGTTAAGTGTGTAAGTGTACATTGAATTTCCGTTTTCATGATTAATAGAAAATGACCAGTTCTTCTGGGCCCACTCTCTTTGTCAACATGGTATCAGAGCAAGGTCCTGAAGGTCCAAGGTCCAAGAAATAGAATGAACGACGTCGTCCCTGTGTTTCCCGCATGTTCAAAGAGGAGCTGCAGAAGAAAGATGTTCTTCGGTGAACGACATCGTTCTTGAGCTTCTGGCATGTTCGAAGAGAAGTTGCGCAGGAGAACGACGGCTTTCGGTGAAAATTAAAGACACCAAGAATAGCGGCGAGCGCATCGACGAATCCTGACGGCACCGAATGCACACAAGATCGGGATTGCCAAAAATGGGAGAATCGAAAGGGATGAACGACTCGGCTGCAGCAAACCTGAATTTCAATAATCCTCTATATTTGCATCCCTCAGATACACAGGGAGCTACGATAGTCTCTCAAATTCTGACGGGAGCTGAAAATTACAACATTTGGAGCAGGGCAATGCGGATTGCTCTGCTGGGAAAACACAAACTGGGGTTTGTGGATGGATCTTGCACGAAAGAAAAGCAAGACGATAGCATGAAGGAACAATGGGAGCGCTGCAATGCAGTCGTGCTCTCATGGATCCTCAACTCAATGTCGAAAGAGCTTGCGAATGGAGCTGTTTTTTTTCAAGATGCACGACTGGTCTGGCTTGATTTAAAAGAACGATTCGATAAAGCTTCAGGCTCTCGCATTTTTGCAATTTACCGAGAAATCTCCTCCCTTCGACAAGGCGGTCTCTCCGTAGCAGGGTATTATACACGACTGAAAGAACTCTGGGAAGAACAATCATTTCTGGTTCCAATCCCTTCCTGCAAATGTGATACTTCCAAGATTTACTCTGAGGTAATGCAACAGCAGAAGCTATTACAATTTCTCATGGGCCTTAACGATACTTATGCTCAGGCGCGAAGTCAAATCCTCTTGATGAGCCCTCTACCGATGGTGAATCAAGCGTATGCCATGATCTCTGAAGATGAGGCTCAGAAAACCATTACTGGTTCTACAATGCATGGACCAATTGACGGGATAGCAATGGTAGCACAAAGCAGAGGACGTGGCAGAGGTAGGGGGAGGGGTGGAACCATACTGGAATGTTCTCATTGCCACAAGAAGGGGCATATAAAAGAACATTGTTATCAGATAATAGGCTACCCTTCAGATTTTAAAGGGAATAGAGCTAAAACAAACAAGACAGGGGCGGCCAATCAAGCAGGATTAAATGCCAAAGGTGAAGGGGATTCTGAAGCCCATTCAGCAAATACTGTGACAACCTCCTTGACACCAGAACAGTATGAACGCCTCCTGGAATTATTGAAGCAAGATTCAGAGACAGCAGTCCATGCCTTAACTGGTACAGGTTTGGATAATTTTTCTCCTTCTCATCGTGTGCCTGTTAGATGGGTTATTGATTCAGGAGCTACTACACATCTAGTTAGTGATCTAAGATTACTAGATACATTTACCGAGTACGGAGGACCAACTAAGACAATTAAGATCCCAAATGGTGATAGAGTTGTAGCAACGCATATAGGAAATGTTAAATTTTCTGATGATTTTTATCTTGAAGACATCCTATATGCCCCACAACTACAATTCAATCTAATTTCCGTGCCTAGAATCACTAGGGAACTTAATTGCATGGTATGTTTTCTTCCTAATCATTGTTTTATGCAGGGCCTTCAGGATGGGAAGAAGAAGGGGACTGGTAGATTGATTAATGGCTTATACATTTTAAACTGTACTGAAACACATGATGTTGTGAATGCTATTTGTAAAGGGAGCAAATCATGTAATGATCTTGATATTCGGTTACTACATAGGAGATTAGGACATGCACCTTTATCTGTATTGAGACATTTGAAATTTGTACAAGGCAGAAATATTTCTATGAATGCAGATTGTGAAGTTTGTGCTCAATCAAAACAAACCAAACTTCCTTTTTCACCTAGTTGTATTAAGTCAAAATTTTGTTTTGAATTGCTGCACATGGATGTGTGGGGACCATACAGGACACCCACATATCAAGGTTATTGTTACTTCCTTACTATTGTTGATGACCTTTCTAGAGCCACTTGGATCTTTCTTATGAAACACAAACATGAAACTGTGAATCACATCAAAAATTTCATAGCGTATGTATCCAATCAGTTTTCTGTGAATGTTAAGAAAATTAGAAGTGACAATGGGACAGAATTCACCAATCATGACTTGCAGAATTATTTTAAAGAAAAAGGGATAATACATGAAACCAGCTGTACTTATACTCCTGAACAAAATGGGATTGTAGAGAGAAAACATAGGACCTTAATGCAGATTTCAAGGGGTTTAATGATTCAATCAAATGTTCCTGTTAAATTTTGGGGCGAATGTGTTAAAATGGCCACCTTTCTGGTAAATAGATTGCCATCCAGGATTTTAGGATACAGAACTCCTTATGAAATAATACATGGTGAGGTAGCAGATTACAAAAATTTGAAAACCTTTGGTTCCTTAGCCTTTGCCACAGATCTGACTGTCAAAGACAAGTTAAAACCCAGATCCATACCTTCCATATTTCTTGGGTACCCCAACAATAAAAAGGGATACTTGTTGTATGATATAGAAGCAAAGAAAATGTTTATCTCAAGACATGTAACTTTTATGGAACATAAGTTTCCTTACAGAGATAACATAGGCACCACGAAAGGGGGAGCCAATCATAATCCAAAAGACATCTTTTATTTTGATCATACACCTTTTGTTGATTTTGTTGAAGAAGAAGCAGATCGGCAGTCTCCAAATCATGTGGAGAGTAGAGAACCCGTTGACAATAATGGCTCCACAGATGCACAACAGGAAACCAGGAGCAATAACGAAGCTTCAGCAAGACCTGTTCGAGAGAGAAGAGCTCCAGTTTGGGCTAAGGACTACGTATGCAACTTGGTGGCTGATCAACAAGATGGATCAGCTGCTAGGAAGCAGAAGTGCAAGTACCCTATAGAGAGTTACATCAGTTATGGTAATATTTCTCCTAACTATATGTGTTATCTTTGTACTATTGACTCTGTCTCAGAACCTTACTCATATAATGAAGCTGTAAAGAATTCAGATTGGGTAAAGGCTATGAATGTGAGATAGATGCTCTTGAAAATAATAGGACTTGGGATATAGTGCATCTACCTAAAGGAAAGAAAGCTATAGGGTGCAAATGGGTATTTAAAATAAAGTACAGACCAGATGGGAGCATAGACAAATATAAGGCTAGGTTGGTAGCCAAAGGATATACTCAAAGGGAGGGGATTGACTACCATGAGACTTTCTCCCCGGTTGTTAAGATGGTAACCGTTAGAGTTATTCTTAAAATTGCTGCTGTAATAAATGGAATGTTTACCATATGGATGTGAATAATGCATTCTTGCAGGGAGACTTGAAGGAAGAAGTTTACATGTCCTTGCCCCAGGGCTTTGAGAGCAAGGGGGAGAACATGGTGTGCAGGCTAAGAAAGTCTTTATATGGGCTTAAACAAGCCTCTAGGCAGTGGAACTGCAAACTAACTTCTGCTTTACATGATGCTGGTTATTTTCAAAGCAAACATGATTATTCAATGTTTACTAAGCGACATGTTGATGGTCTTGTCTTAATATTAGTCTATGTTGATGACTTGCTGATCACTGGAAACTCAGAACAGGGAATAATGGAGTTAAAAGACTATCTGCACAATAATTTTAAAATCAAGGATTTGGGGACATGAAGTACTTCTTGGGAATTGAAATTGCTAGATCTAAGAAAGGCATTATGCTAACACAAAGGAAGTATTTGTTGGATCTTCTTGTTGACACAGGCTTGAGTGGATGCAAGCCACTCACCATTCCAATGGCTCAAAATCTGAGGTTAAGAGCATATGAAGAAGGAAAGGATAGCAAAGCAGATTTGCTTCCAGATCCTGCACGCTACAGGCGACTAGTGGGTCGTTTAATATATTTAACTAATACTAGACCTGATATTTCTTTTGTTGTGCAGGTCTTGAGTCAATTTATGCATATCCCAACAAAGACACACATGGCTGCAGCACTTGGGGTGATCAGATACTTGAAAGGGACACCTGGCCGTGGTATCCTCCTAAGTGCTGAAGGAAATTTCAGACTCAAGTGCTTCTGTGATGCAGATTGGGGATCCTGTCCTACCACTAGAAGATCAGTCACAGGCTATATCTTGAAGTTGGGAGGTTCATTAATCAAGTGGAAGACTAAGAAACAAGCTACAGTTTCTAGGTCATCTGCAGAAGCTGAATACAGGGCCTTAGGTTCTGCAGTCTCAGAAATAGTGTGGATGGTTGGATTATTGAGTGATTTGGGGATCAACCAGACAGAGCCAGTTGATGTTCATTGTGATAGTAGAGCGGCTATGCATATTGCAGCGAATCCAGTGTTTCATGAGCGCACGAAACACATCGAGATTGATTGTCACTTTGTGAGAGAGAAGCTCCTGCAAGGATTGATCAAGTTGCTGCATGTCCGATCTGCTAGTCAAGAAGCTGACCTCCTCACTAAGTCTGTGGGTGCTGAAACATTGAATAGAATGTTGTCCAAGTTGGGTGCTGTTGACATCTTCCGCCCTCCAACTTGAAGGGGAGTGATGAAATATATAGGGTGTTTTCCATCTTGTGTATTGGGCCTATAAGGCGCGGCCCGTTTACTTTGATTATTGTATGACTCAGGAACTTAGGGAGCTTGCTGTGTATAGTCTATAAATAGTGGATCGGTTAAGTGTGTAAGTGTACATTGAATTTCCGTTTTCATGATTAATAGAAAATGACCAGTTCTTCTGGGCCCACTCTCTTTGTTAACATATGGGCTACTATTCCCCAAGCATTTTGGACTTGTGGATTCGAGTATAATGAGTGATATAAGAAAATATGGCCCTTGTTATTTTTTTCCCCAGACAAGAAGGGATGATATTTGGTCCCAAAAAAGTGAGAAACTGTAAGAAAATTAATATTTCGAAGGAGGAAAAATATTTGGTAAAAGAAAGGAAGGGAAAATGATATGCTTTGCTCTTTCGACGATAAGAAAAATGACGCACTTTAACCGCTTCAATCCAAAGATAGACCCATTTCACCTACCCGCTCCTCCAGAGTCTAGAAGGTTGGTAAAGGAGTAACTCTGATGTTGCTGCTAGCGCAAGTTCCACTTTGATTGACAGTTACCACATCTACAAATTATCTATATACTGATATTTATTTGTGGTTAATTGGTTATATATTTATGATCGGGAAAAAAATCTAAAATTATATCTAGTAAGGTTACTAGATGGGCACTGTCTTGGCTCGCTTTGAAGTGTAACACCTGTTTATAGTAATGTTATTTCAGTTCATATTCAAAAAAAAAAAAAGGGAGATCTGATTTAATAATAAATGAAGGAGTATTAAGAAGTGAGGTTGCGGTTGAACCAGCTGAAGCATATAAAAGCATGACGGCTTGGCGAACTGATGGTGAGAAAACAAAACCTGCTTAATCATTGCGTGAATATCTTGGGGAGATTAAATAATGCCGCAGATATTTCGGCAATACACGTACGACGACTCATTTCTAAAGGTGTTCGTGGACAGCAACCTGGCGAGCGAGTACCAGATCGCTCTGATATTCGCCAGAGACTACGACGAGCTCAATTCTCCAACCAATGGAATTTTCAATATCTTCTGGGACAAAACCAAAGTCACTCCTTCTTCCATCCTTCAGTTCAGAGAACGCCTTCCCGTCAACGTTAAGCTCAAAGTCTTCATCTCCATTGGCGATCGCGACGTTAACTTCCGCCTCCGCCCTCTCGACACCCAGTCATGGATCTCCAACGCCACCAACTCGCTCACAAGCATCATCCGAGACGAACTCTACGCCCTAACCCTACACCAAATCGAATTTGGACTCGACGTCTTCTATGAACACATCGATGACTCCGTCGAACCAAACGGATTCGCTCAGTGCATGGGCCAGCTTATCAAGAACCTCAAGGCCGCGAAAGTCATAACCGCCGCTTCCATTTCGCCGTCGGCCAGTCTTAGCGAAGACTATTACTCCTTGCTGAATCGAAGGTTCTGCAACTATATAGATTTGGTGGATTATCAGTTTCAGAATGAGATAACTTCTGTGGACAGTCTTGTCCTCTTGGAGGAACGGTTCAGTGCTGTTTCCAAGGTTTATCCCCAGAGGAAGCTTCTCGCCGGGTACAGTGCCGAGAACGAGGATTGGACTAATCTCTCGCCCATTGTCTTCTTCTTGTTTGGTTACAACCTCTTCAAGAAGAAAGAAGTTGCGGGTTTCTCCATTCTCTACCATGATTTTGTGAATCCTATTCCTTCGCCGTCATCGGACTCGCCCCCTTGATTGGGGTGCAGATGAAGAATAATTAATTAAGCAACATTTCCCATAGGTGCCCCACGTCTAATGTATTAAGTAATTGCTGTGCAGTTAACTTTAATTTGCCAGCTTGGTGCATGTTATGTGCTGGTATTAATAATAAAACCTGTGGGAATACATCCAGGGTTAGGTTCTCACGATGGATGTAACAAAGAACAAAAATGTGGCCAATGGTGGTATTCTATGTATGCAATGGATGTTTATAAATAACATATCAATCCATTTGCTCATCCGTGTCCTTATTTAATTATCATCTTTAGGATTCGTTAAAATAATATGAAGCTATACTTTTAGGGAATTTTTTTATGCATGTCTATATTATAAAAAGCATAAAAGCAAATACTTTCAAATTGTTATTTGTGTACCAGAATATGTGTGGGTAATATACAGAATACCAAACTTTTAAGACTTGGCAAGTCCATAATGAAACGTGCTTTTGTGACGCACAAATACACTGAAATTCTTGTGTAAAAAATAGGCGAGAATCGTGATGAATTCTTCCCAAAACATAGATGAATAAGACGTGGAGTCATCTGCACACTAAATAAATATCTAATGATAAAGCTTTGATCAATGGCAATAACTTGAGCCTCTGATAAATACAGATCACAGACGATACCAATAATGTTCTTCTGAAATCCCATTGTATATCCATCCAATCTCCACTCGCAAGCCTTATCACCCCTTCCACAGTACTGATCCATCAACTCTATCTCATTTCTCCATGGAAGATCTTGTGTTTAAGTTCATCACTGATATATAATACGCTTCGATCATCCATCAGACCACATGAGCAGCTGTATATGCAATATCTCATTCGCACTAGTGTTTCTTCTCTCAGCGACATGTAGCTTAGTGGGCTAATTTTTTACGTAGAGCCCACTTATATGGCCTGGTCATGTCTTCGATGTTCCTCAAGCTCAAATCCTCCGCAAATTAAGCCACCTTGCTGACCTTAGTCAATTTTCCTTAATTATACCGCCATTAACAAGTTACTTTTATGATTATTGTTTTTAATTTTTAATAATTTTTTAACGTACGGAATTTAGTCCAAGTTAATTCTCACAGAATATGTGCGCTGGAATACGAGGAGGAAGCTTGGGCTGGAAGCGGAACCCGTGAGAGAGATATCAGCTATATGTTTTTTTTTTTTTTTGGGGTAAGAATATTGGCTAAATGTTTTGTTCTGTTGTGTCGTGGACGCATAGTTTACGTTATTGGAGTATAGGCTCATAAAATAGGTACTGCGACCCAATTACTAATATGCACCTAGTATATTTTTGGGCCAGCTACCCATTCAGTAAATCGGCCATTAAAATGCAATACAACAATTTATTTATTAAAGAACCAGAATAAATTAATTGACATGAGTATATGCGTGAAAAGATTTTCCGGCAATAATGATTACCTCCAACGACAAGAGAAAAGAAGAACAATTCATCATAATAATTAAAACATGGCTTTTTTAATTAGCGTTCGGGGAGTTAATTAGCAGTGCACTGGGTAAAAATGAAAAAGAATGAGCAGTGGCGTGGGAGAATGGAAGGGTTTTTTTTTTTTTTTGACCAGAAGAATGGAAGGGTACAAGAGGGAATTTGGCATTCCTTGGTGAGACGGCAATTTTAAGAGCCAAAGGATAAGAGCTCCGGAACCGAAAGCCTGCAACAGTGACGTGTCAATCAAATGTGTGTTTTTTAATTTACAGTCAAAAGATCGCAGTATTTGGCTTTTCCGCTTCCAAAATATTCTCCTTCATGTTCTCATTTCAACACACCGCCCCAAAAACAAAAAATACAAAAAAAGAGAGAGAGAGGAAAAACTCTCATCTCAAAGCATCCAATTAATGGCACTCTGCGTTTCATTCTTCCCCCGCTTTAAAAAGGAATATATAGAAGCAAAATGAAACAAACAAATTGGCGATTTGATCATTGATACATTGGCTTATATATATATATATATATATGAATCTATCTGGGTACTACCTTCAGTCCTAATTATAAAAGCTAGTTGACTAATTTGAGGGGATTAAAAAAATAAGTTAAGTTAGTTATTTGTAAGAAATAAGTGTTGTTTTTCCTAAAATATCCTTACTAATCAAGTGTGTTGGTTAGTATTATTATTATTAGAAGGATTATCTTGAAAAAAAATATAAATATTAAAGATAAAGTGGATTAGAATCTTTTATTTAGAACCAAAATAAAAATCAAATAAAATCTTATATTAAAGACAAAAGATAGTAGTATGTTTTCTCATGTATAACGATACTACAGGATACACACACATCAAAGAATGAGCTTGTGGCATTTGGTGGGAAGAGTAGGAAGCGAGTATGACGAAATTGTCCCGGGTATTCTTTTTATCTGGCTTAAACCCGTGAACAAGGGGTGATTTGTTATTATCTATTGTGCAGTCTGTTACATCGTCTACCCATCATCGCCATCTCATTGTATCGCTTTCCCATTCGTATCGTCATGATCTCTCTCTCTCTCTCACCCACGGATATATTGTGTGTGGATGTATATATCCTGTCTTTATCGGATCTCCTGTCCTAAAACCTCATCTGTATTTGTTAAGATCCGAGCATCCAAAGATGATGATGACCCACACCCACTAGTACTTTATTTTAGCACACATATGTTTTTTTTTTTTCCCCCTTTTCCTTGACCAGGAGCACAACATATTTTAACCCAGGGTTCATGATAGTACTTTTTTTTTTTTTTAAAGTATACATTTTTTTAGTATCTCTGTCAAGGGCCGAATACTATTTGTTAAAAATCTGCCATGTAATATCGAAACAATAAAAGTATAAACCTCTGAATTATACGTATTTCCTTCTTATCATCATCCATTTATATCATGTGTACATGTGGGTGAAGAATATAAGAATTAGTTTCGATGCTCATCACAATAAAAAATATTATGATACTCATCAAATCTTAACTGTTCAAATTTAATATGAACAGCTAAGATTTAAATTTTTAATTTTTTAAAAATGTTTTCATTTAATAGGCACATTCCAAAATAAATATAATTTTCTAACGATAAGTTTTTCAAAAAAATAATTTGTCTATTTAAAGATCATTAGTAAAAAAAATTTTAAATCTAGAATATTAAAACTGTATTTAAATGGTGTAAATTTTATCATAACAATGAGCGGCATGATATTTATTATTATGATGAGCATCAAAATATTTCTATATACATACCTACGTATATTACCGGCAACAATATACTCCCTCCGTTCCTTATTATAAGAGACAAATAACTAAATTACGTTGATCAAAAAAACAGTTAAAATTAGTTGAGGACAATTAATATGTAAAAAGTATAATATTTTTTCCAACAATGCCCCCATTAATAAGGAGAGAGAGTATAAGAGAGAACAATTAAATTATTAAAAGAAAGAGAAGTGGGAGGGAGAGAGAATATGAGTTGGAGACAAAATAAATAGGGGTAAAATAGGAAATCAATACAAAAAAATAGAGACAACTTTTAAGTGTCTCTTATATATAGGAACATGTCATAAGCATCAAATGTCTCTTATAATAAGAAACGGAGGGAGTAGTAGTTTATGGTTGGGACTTGGGAGTTTAGATCTCACGCTGGCTCGTCCGAAGGCAAGATCAAACCAACCCCTACGGGTGTACCTTTTCCCCCTTTTTTTATTGTTTATTTTAGTTTTTGCTTCCGCTATGTGTGAGTGTGAGTACATCATACATGAAATCCATGGCTCCGCGTTCCACTCACGTGTCTTCCTGGCAGAGAAATCTACGCGTAACTCGAGGTCTTTTAGCTTCCATTTCTAAGCATGCCACGTGGCCCGCATCTCTTCATTCAATCTTCAATTTTACTCCGCACTAAACTTTATAGTCCTGTTCCATAGCAATTCATTGCAATATTTTAATTAGCATATATGACAGACCACTAGTCATTTTGCACAACTATGAATATGACTTAAATTAATTACGGAAAGGCGTATACCGTCTCTTGTACGGAATATAAAAATATCTCAATTTATTTTATTTTTCATATTTATAATTTTTAGGCTAAAACTATACATTTAGTTCTTTAATTTTATATAAGGTTTCAATTTGTCTCTTAACTTTAAAAAATATACTTTTAGTCATTTAACTCTATTTTTTTAAAAAAATGAAATTAAGATCTTAAGTGTTGATAAAATATTCTTAAACGCTAACATATTAAGTTTAATTTTTAAAACATTGATTATTGTTACCAAAAAAAATTGAAGCCTAATAATTTTAGGGTTAAAGGATTAAATATATGCCTTTTAAAATTAAGGAATGAGATTAAAACCTTATATAAAGTTAAAGAATCAAATATATACTTTAGCCTAATTTTTATTCAAAATATTCTTATTAATTACACATATTAAAACGGCTTCCAAACAATAGATAATTTTAATGCATATGATATAAAGAGAATAGTTGGGGAAAACAAAGATATATTTGTTACAAATTAATTAATTTAACTAATTTCATTAATATTTAAAAATAATTAGTGATCTAATTTTTATATTAAGTCCAAAGATAGTATGTTGGAAAATAAATGTAAAATATAGTTGTCAATAATTAACACCTACATCGAACCTCTTTCCTGTTGGAAAAAATCTCATCAAAAAATTCTCCTATTATATATATTTTTTGGGGCCAAATTCCCATATGATACGAGTTGTATGATTATGGGACGGAAAACTCCCCCCATATCAGTTTTGTGCTGATCTGATCTGTGTAGTTGTATTATTATTATCATCACCATCATGGAAACTGAAAATCTCGTGGTCGAATATGAAATATTTTTGATGATGACGATGGATGAGGATGGCCAATGGCCATTAGCATATAGGAAGCCAGGTGATCGATAAAGTGAGATTATTTGTGAGTTAAAAGCGGAAGACAGAGCTACACCAAAGTAAACGTCGTGCGAGTGAAAAGAACGGGCAACAACGTAACGTTCCAAAATGAAAACGAGACAGCTCTTGATTGCACCCCACCAACTAACACACTTGAAGTGGGGCTGCTCTTACTAAATTCCCAAATATTGTTTTCATGTATAGTCATTAGAGTTGTTCATAAAAACATCATTATACTCTTCCCTGATTCTTTTTTTTTAAAAATAATTTTCTAAATTGTGTTTTAGCGCAAAATTTAATAAAGAAGGTTTTAGGAAAGTTGAATGTTTGTAATCCCCTGAAAATATCAGAGATGAATTT